CAAATGACAAATAAATAATATTCACAATTATCTAGTGTCTATCACTGGTGATATCAATGTCCACCCATAAAATAGAGTCACAGAGGGGGAGCTCCTTTGTAAATACAAGGCCAAGTACTTGAGGTGCAGACCATACAGAAAGCCATTTTAGCCTGGAGGTGAAATTAATGAATCATGGCCAAGTGCTGCATTCCATCCATATGTAAGATGAGGAGATATTTTGCAAAGCCTCTGTATCAACTTAATGCTGTTATGGGCCATTGTTCACAATAAACATGTAAATTGTGTTTATGGAATAGCATATAAATCAATGGCACTGATTCACAAATAAATTATAATCACAGCGAGTCCTCACCATACTTGGGCACACAAACACACAAATATCTTATTGTACATAAATCCAAACTAAAACAATATTTTCATGGTATAATAGGTCTTTTTCACATTTTGTCATAGTAGAAAAAGCACAGGTGTTGTAACATTATAGATAACAATGGCTCTTTTCTCTTCAAACCAGTGGTGGAAAGGAATTCGTACGTTTGCTCAAGAACTAAACTTAAAGGACCAGTGTGTAACATTTAGGAGGATCTATTAACAGAAATAGAATATAATATGATTAGTTATAGTTAATTTATTAGTGAAAATAAGAATTGTTGTGTTTTTGTAAAGTAAAAAAAGGGAATGTGAGGGTGAAACGAAGGGCTTGTAATCTACACACACCACTAGATGTCAGTAAGACCTACACACTTTTGAATGGAGTATTTTTATTTTCTGCTATTTTCTGTTGTCACTACATCTCAGAGGGGAGTGTTGTGCTTTTTACAGTTACTGGTTACTTTGTATATTCAGATATATAATACAAAATATAATAAATTGTTACCTTTAGAATGAGCTGTTGATATCAGAGGGAGCTGGTCTTTTTCTCCGGAGTCTGCCATGTTTTCTTTCACTGTAGTTTTGGAAGGTGAGCAGTTTCAGTTGTTTCACCACTAGATGCCACTAAACATTGATCCTGAGTACTTCTTCCACCACTCAGTCAACCATGACCATGTGACACAGAGGCATTGTGCACAATATGTGCTTTTCCTACTGTGACATGTCAAAATATCTTCTGTGAAAAAGGCCAATACAAGAGAACATTTAGACACCTTTAGATATTTAAGATAGACTGATGGATAGGACATCCTTAAGACCACAGAAATCAGCTTGGTGTCTTGGTGTATGAATGTACTAAATGCTGTAGTAATAGTTCAAAACCACTAGGTGGTGATATGTTATCTATATTGCTGATACTTGCCAGTGTACTAACTTGTGAATGTAATACATTGACATGACAAATCAAACCTATATGCCACAGATTTTCTCACAATTATGTAAAGTACATCAGGATATTCTAATGTAAAATCAGTGCAGAACAACACAGCATGATTCATGGATTGTAACTCTCATTCTTTTTAGGATCAAACTCTGTACAGCGTTCTAATGAGGCACCCTTTACAAAGGCTTTTAAATAATAATAGTAATACGGTTTTGGGTTGCCAGGTTGTGAAAAATCCCTTTGGTTAGTAATTAATAAATGCCTAAACCTGGCAGGTTGTTCTTATTAATTGTCTTGTAAGTGATACATAAAACGTTAATAATTGATTTATTAACAACTGATGAAGCCGTCAGTTGCACCTTGTAAGACATGTATAACAAGTTCCTTATTAGAAAGTGGTACTGCAAACTAATACCTGCGTGTCTAAAGGGATCAAACACGAGAAAAATATACAGAACTAAGAGAATCAAAGAGAGCATGGTGTGATAGTAGCATTGTCGGAGTAGTAGTATCACATCCATGATGAAGAGGAAGAGGATTCAAGGGTGATGGGGTTCAGGCCAGAGGTAGGGAGAAAGGAGGCCGGTCCCTACTGACCCAGATTAGGAGGTGCCACTGTCTGAGGAGAGATTGATGGCTGCAAGCAACAGATAATAGCTTGTAGTGTGAAAGGAGATTTAAAAAAAGGCAGAGATTGTAGGGAGAACCAGACCCCACCCGTGTGGTGCTGTGCTGAACAGCCACGTCTGATTCTAACACACTGCAATTAGCTGCTGAGACAATTACAGGTTTGTAGAGGGTAAATGTGAGGTACTCTTTTTTTTTTTTTTAATCATATGATATGCTGTAAGCTATCATTCATCCTACAGAATTTTATTTTTATAGCACAACTGCGTATATATATGCATACATATATGTACAGTTGCTATTGCAGTATATATGTTTATATATACATAGTATACACACACATACATATATATTCAGTGGTCTTATAACACTTCAAATGTCATTACAATTTGCCCATATGGACACAAAAAAACTGCATATTTACTCTATTTGCTACTCCATCCTTGTCTTAGTGTTGTTGTGACAGCAGCCCAGCTGATCAGGCCCCTGCATCACATCCTGCTTGTTTCCCACATAACCCATGAGTGGTCCATCACAATGCCATTGTTACCCATCAGATTGTCCGCAGTCATTGCTTATTCAGTCAGCCGTTGTGCCTTTGTCCAAAATCATTCTTCACTCTGTCCCTAAGACCTTATCCTGCCTGCTGCGGCCCATCTGCCCCCCTGTCTGACACATACTACAAGAGCCCCTCATTTCTCTTTCTCCCACACACACACACACACTCAGAGACATACTCCACACCAGCTGTCCAGCTTGTGTCCCCCTGGCAGTAAAAGGTGCTGGACGGCCAGCCCTGAAGCATCATCACCACCAGAGTACACATGAAAGCGGTGCTCACTTTTCTCCAACACGTTTCCTTCGCCAGTGACGCTGACTTGAAACTTCTGATCCACACTGTTTGCTCTACCAAACAAATTGATTGTGCATTTTTGATCTTGTGCTCCATTAGTGTGCAGTGTTTCCTCCAGGGTGTGTGTGTAAAGTTTATCCCAATTCACTGGCAGTGCAATGTGTTGTAACCTTCGTAGTGTGGCCGTCTGTGCTCATGAGGAGTTGTCCTCTGTGTGGATCTTCCTGCTTTTGGGTGTTTTATTTTGATTTGTATCATCAGTAAAAGCTTTATTTTTGTACCATATATCTGTGTGGTAAATATTTGTTTGCCTCTTACACCAAATCAGAAAAAACTGGAATCTGGAAAAACTGATGGTGTCCACATGGTTTTTTAACACTGTTCTCTGTTCTTGTAACTCATCTTGTAAGTCAAATCAGATGAGCACATGTTTAAAATCTGTTCTCAGTCCTCTGGGAATCTGTTTGTTTACACCAATATTCAGACAATCCAGAGCTATTTCAGGCGAATATCATTTTTGTCTCTGTTCAAACTGCAGGCACAAGGGACCCAAATCGGATTTTGTTTATATTTGACTCAGATCTGGGTTTTTTTTCATAATAGTGTGAACGACATAAATCACATAGAATCTAAACTTTTTAATTCTGATTAAGTAATGCAGCCTCAGTGTGAACAATCATTTCAGTTTTTCATGTGACGTTTTTGTCCTTTTAGATCTGCGTTTGTCATGTGTGTTACTTCAGCACCGTGACTTGGTATCTGATATTGGCCACATGTCAAAAATAACAGCCCAACAAAGAAAAAATTCATAGAGCAATAAAATCAGAATTGACTGTTAAGGCTTACAGTGTGAACACAGCATTAGGCTCACTGATGGTTATCCTTAAAGAGAGAATGTGAGAAATTATACTGAAGAAGAGCCACAGCGCTTGATTCAGGCGCTCTGTTTGGCCATCCATCTTAGAGTTGTGTGCAATTATTCATGTGTAATAATAATTATGTCATGGTTCTTGTGTAATTTTATGTAATATTATTTTGTCTTTGACACAATGAAGCCACTGATGATGAGTAATTTGAACCACATGTATTTATCACATCTGTGAGTGCTCATGCTAAATTCATTCCATTGTGCATTGGCTATAATGTTTATTTAAGAAGAAGGAAGTAAGAAGCCAATGCTAAACACTTGCTTAAAAATAGACAGTAGTCATTGATGGAGGCTATAAATAGAGATAGGTTTAAGGGACTGGTTTCTGGACTGGGATATTTATAGTACTGCCACACTGCTGTTTACTGGAGGCAGCAGCCAGGGGTGCATTATCAATAACACCATAAAACCCCAAATACACTGAATGCACAGTCACATCCCTTGTCCATTTCTGGAAAGATGCATCTGAGGTGAAATTAAATCACTTTTATGAGGGGATCAAAGGGATTACTCCTGAGGGTCTTCTATTCATGGACACAGTAAATGCAAAAGTTGGATCACTTTTCAGTGTTGACATATCTCTGATTACAACATTTTTTCCATTTCTTGGCTCATGAGTTTGACGTATGACACTGATAACCCTGCATGCATAAATAAAAGCTGCGTTAAGAAGACACATTCTTTTAAAATATGCAAGTCATATTACATTTGTAGTAAAAATGCAAATTACCAAAAAAACCCAGTGGTATAAAATGAATTTATGAGCGCGACGCAATCTCTTTAATTGCGTTTTAATTGTTTTACCGTTTAATGATTTTACCCTGAAGTAAGCAAGGAAAGGGAGTTAAAACAATTAGCTGTTGCATGTATCCCCCCCTCTGAAACAATGTCATTTAGTGGTGCTACTGTAATGTGGTGGAGAACAGAGTTAACGCTTGCAGTTGCTTGATACAGGTGGAGGACAGACCAGCTGACTCAGGAGCAGGAGGAGGGGCAGACAGACAGCTCGGCGGGCGGAGGAGCTGCTCCACACCGACAGACGGACAACTTGGTCGGAGTGAACCTGCGACGCAAGCCGCTGCTGCCGAGTCCCCCCCCCCCGCATCATCATGCCTCCCCGCCCTACAGTCCACCGGCAAGCCACTCGTCTTCTATGGGAGTTTACTAGCGAGCTATCTAGCTTGAATTAGCGTTTATTATTCAGAAACCGACAAAACTGTGCGTTTGCCACAGCTCTACCATAGGTTTCCAGCTGCGTTCCATTCAATGTCCATATGCCGTTCCACTCCTCCCAACGTGAAGACGGCTTCGGCTTGGAAGGAAGGGAGACGCAGAACGGGCAGGAGGAGAAATGGTGCTGAAAAGGCTGTCAAAAGTCTGGGTGAAGTGAAGTGAAGAATGGACGGGACAGTTTGGACGAGTTGGAGAAACCATCACAACGCAGAATTGTCAACACCAAATGCATAAGCCGATAGCCAGGAGCACACACGTGAAGCACCACATGAGAGAGAGAGGAGAGAGAGAGAGAGAGCCACAGGCCCCTCGCAGTAAGCAGGGTCGCTGACAGCTAACGTTTAGCCGGGTGTAGCTTGCTTAGTAGCTTGGAGCTAATACTTGGGTTAGCCTTGGTGGTTTGTTAGAGGAGCTGTTTTATTTCTTTCTTTATTTTGGTTTCAACTTGTTAACGTTTAACTCTGCAGGTTGGTTAGCAAATCAACGAGGAGAACCTTAAAAAAAGTCTGATATGTTGGATAGCCAGCTGATAGTTAGCTTTTAAGCTGCCATGTAAAAAAAATAAAACAACATAAAATACACAGAGAGCTAAGTGGGTCAAATAGAGAAGTGTGTGGAAAAAAGCTTATCAGTAAAATAGCATGACAGTTGATAACTTATGTACCCATACATTTAAGGTCCATTCTTATATAGTTCCGCATGAATACTATATGGACATGTGAGACAGCTAAATGCCTACAGACAGTTATTTGATTTACAATCAGCAAGTCCCGAGGACACAACAAGTGAAATCAAGTATGTCACTAGCCACGGGTGAGAAGAAGTGGTAACAGAGCTGTTAAACTCACCAGAGGAGTAGACTGGAGTTGTGTGTACCAGTTAAAAAATAAAAAAAAGCTGTATTTCCCATATGGGATACCAAGAGCTCCAATCCATAGTTTACTGATGTGTGAGGGTAACATTGTTCTCCAGGTGTGAGTGCAGGGACTGTGCATATTCTCTGTGTCTGAATGAGTCAAGCAGGAACTCGTCAGAATGTTTTAACCTTGTTGGATGGTCAACCGAATATTGTGCAGAGTCAGTTTGTTTAGTTTGTTTCATGTTGGGTCCTCAGTGTGCAGAACTCTGTAAATGTGTTTGCCTTGGAATAGTTGCTTATTTCTATCTGTGTTCCTTTCTGAATGTAAACTTTAGATTAATAAATAACTCATTCAGGGAGACGTAAAGAGACCTAACAAAAAGAGTATGATGTCTTTATTTTTTCAGTGTAAACTATTTGGCTGGTTGGGATCTTTTTTCCTACATAAGATTAATAGACGCCTGCTGGTTAATAGGCACTTTAGAAGGTGACGTAATGCAAAGCTGTTAAAAGGCACAGTTCTACCCCAAGAATAAAGAAACAGTTTTCCTCTTTGAATGCTGTTTTGATCCATTTAGTTTGGTAGATTTGTCAATTTTGGACAAATATGGGAAGCTAAAATGGCATTTGTGCTCAAAGTGCTAAAAAAAATACTTTTTCTTTTTTTTTTTAAACAAAATAGTTAAACAGGGCAGCTTTGGAGGCATAGATACTAATAAAACTGCGAATCTTCCCCATAATCGTGTGTATAAAAGGTCAGCATGGGTGCTCCGCCGGCATATAAATAAAGCATTTTCTCAACCTCTTCGGAATGTGCTCGCGGGGCTCAAGGAGGCGTGGCATGTTGGATTGTGTTCAATTGTTGGGCCCAGTCACTGTAAGGTTTTACAGAACAACGAGCTGGTTTGAGATTCAGTGATTCTTGGTACCTACAGTAGGCCAACTTGTGATGTACTTTCATTCCACCTCGGTATCTATGGCTTAGGGACAAAAGCGGTTTGTCAATAATTAAAAGAATATTATGCAATATAAGGTAATGCTAGATTACCGTCACCCCAAAAAAAGTGTTGTAGCCAATATACTATACCTATATATGTTTGCCTGTAGGCACTGGTGCATACACACTGTGTTTACTGGTTTATATGCCATTAAAGTTTGGTATATGAATTTTTAAGAAAATTAATATAGCGCAGGCAAGCTAGTTTGCCATGTAAAGTTGATAGTCGAGTGGATGGTGTCGTTGCTGTCGTGGAAATTCTTGCCCAAAGTTTGGATGAGGTGGCTATTCTCTGAAGAACTTTGCAAGCCCGGTGTGCTCTCCCTTCTATAGACATCTCACTACATCGTAAAAACAGTGGAACACACCTGGTTTGTCTTGTTTATGTTATTAATGAAAAAAGTCCAGGTCTCTCCCACTAATAGTTTTGAGAGCTGATGGACCCACTCCTGACCTTAGGTCTGTGACGACTGCTGGACGGTCCACGCCTACAATAAAACACTATCCTCCCGACCAGGACCACATACAGTTACTTTTCCCCTCCTATACTGTTTATTTCACATCGTGAGCGAGAATGACGTCACAGCTCCTTCCGGCATTGTGTTGCCGTCCCAGCCTGTTTGGTGGTTTGTCTACCAAAGCCGGCATGTGATCCCTGCTGGTGTACAACTGGAGGATGAGCAACTGACACGTGCTTCATCTACGGCAGTAAATTTTAGGCTTTATTCGACCAATCAATTGGTTGAGTCGGGTTGGGGACCATTTAAAGACTCGCAAAGGACGGTTTTGGTTTAGTTTTATTTGTTTCTGCCCACTTTGAATGAAAGTTATGAAGGTTAAAATGACCATTTTTGGTCTACTGGTATTCTGGTGCGTGAAGCAGTAGGCAAGTATGTTGGCTGTTTCTGTTGTTAAACAAAAGTCTGTCTCTGCAGGGATCATTTACATAATATTGTCAGATGCTTATTTTTCTCTTAACTTGGTGAGATTGAAGGTTATCTTCTAAAACGCAAGATTGAGTGATTCGTTGGGAAGGACCGTGGAAAAAGAACAGAAAGCCAGCCCGGGTTTTGGTGGAGATTGTTTTGTTTTCGGTTCTGCCAATTTTGGCAGTTTGTTGTTGCAATTATCTGCTCAGTAAAATTACTGGTTTTGGTCAGTGCAGTCTGGCGGCAATGAATTTTGGTACATACCACCTTTCAGACGTGCTGGTTGTTGTTGGAGCTGGAATCAGCTCTTTCTGGAGAGCGGTTTTCTGTGCTGTCGGCACGTCGAGTGAATTTTCTCAGGAATATAGGTGCGTCAGTGTGGTTTTTGAGGTGCCCGAGAATTCCTTGCCTGGCTGCTGGACAGTTTCTGTCTGGTGGTATGGGAGGGGGTTGCCGTCAGTCCAGCCTGGGTGTCAGAGCGGTCATCATGTCAAAGTGGCAATCAGGGGAGACAGGATCATAGCCGAGGCCAATCTTCACGCAAAGGCATGAAATGCTGACCTCAGCTTGACTCAACCAAAAACAAAGTGATGCCATGGGAGGCAATTGCTGGAAGGATGAGCAGGATGTCTTTTGTGGTGGTGCACCGATGTTGTGTATGAAAGCTTGAGATTGAACAGCAGGCAGAGGGGTGGTGTGTGGGAAGATATCCTAAGCTATACGTATCTCAACACTGCGTCCAAGCTTCTAACTGGGACTGAGTGCGCGGTGTCTCTGTCCCACTTAGTTCTTGCTGGCTAGTTGATGATGTCCTTTTTAAAATTGCTGGGTGAGAAGGATTGGCAGGTCAAGGCTGTTGTGGCTTAAGTTGACTGGACAAGTATCTTAAATTTTAAAGGACCAAGCTGCCTCCGCCGTAGATTGAGTGACATCTAGCAGCGTAAGTTTGCTTATCTGAAGGACCCTTTCCTCAAGCCTCTGTTCCAAACGTGTATGAGAAAACTACGTTGGCTGTGATCGGGCCCTATGTTGGTTGTCTGTCCTCTGGGCTGTGTTAGAAACCATTTGGGGAGAAGAGGACCCGCTCTGTCTGTAGGATAAAAAACAGCTTATTCTAACTAAAACACAACCATTCTTATATTCTATACACTAATGAAAACATACCTATGAATATTATATTCCATTTCTGCCAATAGATCCTCCTAAATGTTACACACTGGACCTTTAAACCCCAAGTCCTCTCTGACATACTTCACAGGAGGCCAAGCCATGGTAAAGAATGAGAACCATATGTTTCTTGTCTGACAGCTAAACAATGAGCTGAACTGTTGTTGAGTTGAGCTGAAAAAAAGCCCTCACCACAATGATCTGTCATAGTCCTTCCTTTCTTTATGTAGTCATTTGAGTTTCATGGCAATATATTTGGTCTTAAGTAATAACTGTTACGTACATTAAGGTATACAACCTTAAAGGTTTACATTATGAGAGTTCAATAACTTTGCATATTCAAACCGCTCTCTCTCTGAGTCACTGCAATTTTAGCTTCTTCATAGTTGGACTATGTCACGTCATAATTAAAAACACACTTATTACTATATTTGATTTATAGTGCAACTTTTGACTCACAGTAATTTCCATATTTCGTAAAGCTTCCCTTTTATTGGTATTCCGAAATGAGCATTTGGCATTTGCTGTCTTCATTTTGAGAGTGGTTCCCTGACCAGTGCTGCTGTGTGGGATGAGGGGATGTTTTTTTTTGTATTTTGAAACAATAAATGAAAAGTAAACATTACGTATTGAAAAATATGTTGAACAGTCAAATGCTTTGGTGTTCTGGTGCAGGTTTTACCTATAACTCAAAAACATTTAAATAATCTTCAGAGCACAGAGCAAAGCAACACATTGACTGATTACATTTAATCTGAATGTACCACTACAGTCTTTTTGGTGGTGTCTTTCAGGTCTTTAGATGGGCGTCTCCAGGTCTCCCACAGAAAAGGTCTTCCTCATGTCATCTACTGTCGCTTGTGGCGCTGGCCAGACTTACAGTCCCACCATGAGCTGAGGGCTGTCGACCACTGTGAATTTGCCTTCCACACCAAGAAGGATGAAGTCTGCGTCAACCCCTACCACTACCAGAGGGTGGAGACACCAAGTGAGAGCAGTTAATTGCTACATGATCCAAATGACTATATTTATTTTTATGCTTTTGCCATATAATATACAGAACTGAACCGGTCCTTAATGAATGTATCTGCGTGTCTCCAGTTTTGCCTCCTGTCTTAGTGCCACGACATACAGATATCCCTGCAGAGTTTCCACCTTTGGATGACTACAGCCCATCCATCCCTGAGAACACCAACTTCCCTGCTGGAATTGAGCCCCAGAGTAACTATATTCCTGGTGAGAAAAACAGCGCCATTATTTTCTAAATGCCGAACTTTAATGTGTGTACTTAATTTGGAGATGTCCAAAAATGGTTGTATACCTTAATGTACGTAACAGTTATTACTGGTTGTTGTTAATTGTAGTAAAAAAGAGAACTTAGATGAACATGTTTTTTTGATGACTTTTACTTTTAGTCGGGTTTTATTGGTTTGGTTTATGTGTTTCTTTACAAGTTTGTTCTGTCTCTGTTTATTACTTTTGTGCAGATATTGGAATTCCTTGTATGTTTTTTATGTGTATTTTTTTTATGTTCTTTAATTTGGCTCATGTTCCTTGTTTTTTTTTTTTTTTTTTTACAGATGTGGCCATGGCACTTTAATTTGTTTCAGGACTTTGGCAACTGATTTTAAAAGTGTGCATATATAAATAAACTTTTTTTGATTTGTTGTAGAAACATTTAAAACAAACAGGAACTTGACCTTTCTTGGTAAATGTTGGTTGCTTGGTTTAAAGATTAGCCTAAAATTTACAGAAAAAATACACAAAAAGGTGTTACAGCAATTGAAAACATGTTGCGATCAGGTGTGTGCTTAATCTTATATACAAAAAAATATATTTTTGTATGTTACAGAAACTCCCCCACCAGGGTATCTAAGTGAGGATGGTGAAACAAATGATCACCAGCTCAACCACAGCATGGACACAGGTGGGTCACACAATTCAAGCTCATACTGTCTAATTATGCCTTATCAAGATCATGACCCAGACCTATATTACTGTTCTATTTTAGGTTCACCCAGCCTGTCGCCCAATCCTGTGTCACCCGCAAACAGTAATCTTGGTAAGCAAAACCAAAGAGGTCATCTCTACTTAGAAAGCATATCATTCATTATGTATACTTATCTGGTTGGTTGCAATGACTTTAGGGAAGGTATA